TTTTTTTAAAATGAAAAATGACACATAGCTTTTATAGTACACAATGCATGGAGGCGCAGACTTTCTTCTGAAAAGAGAATAATGTTTAATTTTTGCTGGAGTACTTTACAAACTAAATAACAGATATTGTTATAAATAAAATTTTAAAAATTGTACAGAAAACAAGCCACAGTGTTCTGTGTTTTGTTCACAACCGGTCCTGATAAAAGGAGGAATTCAGTGTGGAGGATTTAATCATTTATTAGGCAAACAGCAAGTCAGACCATCAGCACTGTAGACGTGAGATCATATAAGTCTGTGTTTACGCAACTTTACATTTTATATTGTTACATGATGAAAACTTTGACAAACAAAAAAGTGTAATCACCCAATATTTGAAGATAATATATGTGGCTAATGAAAAAAGTAAATTCTAACCCCTACTGATCATTTAAAGAATTAACAGAGAAAAGAGAGCAAAACAGAGTGTTTGAATTTCAGTGTCTGTTTAAAGAGTCATCTTGTTTTTAACGTCTTTGATTTCTAATCCACCTGTACTTTGTATCAAACACTTCACTCAATGCCTTTGGCCTTTAACTCCTCTTTGACTCTGCTCAGGTACTCAGGGTCAGGATACCCAAAGCTGTGGAAACAGAACATATCCAAGGTTAATATGTAGTATTTTATTAGAGTAAACCGTGAAAGAAAACATATATCACAACGCTAGTAAGGAAATTGGTTACCCTACCAATCTGGTCCTCCAGATGTGGATGTTTTGTGGTGAATGTCGTTCCAGGTCACCTGGCCGTCCATACCAGTTGTTCTGGATGTACCAATAGTAAAAATGAGCTTCTGGCCAAAAGCTTTTTTCAGCAGTCGCAGCACTTCATTGCCCTCTTTGTTGTCTGGAAGATACGCTTGTCTTCTAATCCCAAAATAGCGCTGTCCAGGATTGGGATGTTTTTCCTAGAAAGATGAATGGAAAGTAAACAATATTAGAAAAATATATACATACAACCACAAAATGAAAACACAATCATGTTTTATTTTTTAAACAGGGACATAGGCACTCAGATAAAATTGTCACTTACCGTCTGTGTTCCACTTGGAATCTCATAGCTGATCATTATGGTGCCACAGTCTGAGTATCCAGGGAGGGGAATTGTGAGTATCTGGTGTGACATTCTTCCATCTGGTTGGTCTCCGACTATCTTACCAAAGACGACTCTGCATATAGGACAGATGGGCCCATTCGCCTTCTCTGCTTGTTTCAGACAGTCTTTACAAAATTCATGTTTACAGTTGAGCTGTCTCTTGTTTTTGAATTTATCCAAACATATAGGACACCTTTCATCACTTTGGTCACCTGCTCTTTTCCCACTGTCAGTTGGTGGGTCAATGTTGTGCTTCCTGTTTGCTGATTGGCCATTCAACACAGGCTCATTGGAGGCCCCCTCTGATTGAGAAATGATTGTGCCACTGAACCCAGTGGCACCATGGAATTGGGATGAAACAAACCTCTGGTGTAGACAGAGAAGTGCTCTGAGGGCGTGGCTCTCCATTGAGGCATTTCCTTCTTTCTTGTAGAAAGCTGTGACATTAACTTTGCCTTGACCAATGTCTGAATC